ACCCTTGAGCACCCCTCACGAGGGCTCTCCCACCTCGCCCAAGTCGTGCCTCACCGAGTCGGTTCGCCCTGTCTACGTGCCCGCCGTCCTCCGCCCGAACCAGCACCACTCCAAGAAGCCGCGCGCGCCCAAGGTCGAGGACCTCGACGGCGAGGATCTTCTCTGCTTGCGCCGCGCTAACAGCAGCTTCATTAGCCTCCCCGGCTTCAGCGTTCTCGGAGCCAAGCTGTCGCGCCGCTCTACTGGCGACAGTGGCAAGGTTATTGACCTCGAGCTGGACCCTGAGCTCTTCCCCGACGTTGCTGGCGAGCCCACCCGCAAGCACTGGAAGGTATGTTCACTCTTTTAGCCACCTTGCCCATCCATCTTGAGATAATAAACTAACAAAAACCCAATAGCCCGACTCCGAGTCCATCATGTGCGACGACCCGACTTGCAAGCGCAAGTTCAATGCCCTCAACCGCCGCCATCACTGCCGCCGCTGTGGCAACATCTTCTGCGGCGCCCACTCTGGCGAAGTCATCCCTCTCGACGAGGACTGCAACTACAACCCCCGAGGAGCCCTTGCTCGCGCCTGCTTCCACTGCTTTACCGAATTTAAGGTATGGAAGAGCCGTAACGGCAGCCGCAGCGGTAGCGACCAGAGCTCCGACTCTTCTGGCACCCCGTCGAGCCCCATTGTCGCGAGCCCTATCGCCCCGATGATGCCCGGCATGCTTCCCCCTACCAAGGGCCCTGAGGTAGCCGCCAGTGTCCCTCGCGACTGGAACTGGAGCACATTCTAAATGTACACTGTACATCGGAGACGACAAAGAAAGTACAAGGGTATCCTCACACCCAGCGGATTACGACTCACGGCCTTTAATGAAGAGCGAAACAATAGAATCATAGACTTACTCACACGACGGTGGCGATTCTCACCAACCGCCCCGACGACACCAGACATGGAAAATCACCAAACACTCCAACACACCTTCGACACACATCAATACCCACTAATGGACTGCACTGCGCGTCACCCATTATCACTTTTCATCCGCAATAGAACGCCTACTCGGTTTTCGAGCCCAGCCGAATTGGCTTGGACTCTGTTTTGCATTTACAGCGTGGCGTTGGACGGATACTCACAGACTCGGATTTGGCTTTGCCAAACTCCTCCCATATCAATCGCATATGGAAAAGGGTTATTTCATGGGAAAGCGATACAACCGGGCTCTGAATTTTTTCATCACTCCGGTTTCTACGGAGTTTAGCGGCATACCCCTCTGAAGGCCGATACCCTGATGTGACGGCTACATACTCTTCGCCCCGCGTACTCGGATCTCTATCCGGGGGTATGACTATCTTACACTTGAGATGAGGGGAAAAGAGACGAGAGGGCGGAGCAAGTCAGCCGAACGCCTTCATGGATCGGCGTTGCGTGTATTTAGAGTTGCCGTCACCGTATTGGTTGACGGGTTGGAGATCCAGAGAGAGGGGGGGCAAGAGAGAAGGGGGAAAACAACCCGGACGGTGCGGGCGCGCAGCCAACCTTGCTTGCGCGGCCGAGTCCAGCCGGTCTCTGCCTCTCTCACCCCTTTTGAGGTCTCGAAAGAAACAATACAAACAATTGCAAGCAAACTCTCATTGACTGCAAACCTTGGCTTATCGGTGACTTGTGATTTGAGTGATGGTTTGTGATGTATATCTGAGGGCGTGATATGCTTGTCCATGTTGTCTTGGTGGCTTACAGGTTCGCACTCGATCATTCCGCGTGTTTGCCGTGTCTACCGGGGAAAGACCAATTATCGGAACGTATCTTACTTGCCTTCGACGCTTTCCTCATATGTGTCGTTGCTATACTGCGTCCTCCTTGTAAGTGGCTAATATGACCTCGTCGGTTAGAGTGTTACATGTGGACTCCAGACTAGTGAATCTCTTGGTTAAGGCAATCGCTATATGCCGATAATCGCGAACGTTGATTTCTACCGATCTTCGTGTGTTGATGGATATTATTTTTCATACATAGTGTCCCCACCTCGCCGTCAGAAGTATGCATGGTCTTCTGAGGATACTCTGCTGAATAAATACACCACCACCAATGTCGACTGGTGGCTTTGGACAATCTTGCTCTGCTACCCAAAAGTAAGATAGGTAGGTATAGGTTGAGTTCAAGGACTTCCTTCGATAGACTAACATCTTCCAGCTAACAGCGCGCTTCACTGTACCACGAAAGTGCCGAAATGAAGGTTGTAGAGGGGAGGCACCTGGCCTCAGCGACGGAGTTTTCAACTTATAGCAGCTGTTGCCTGCACGCCCACATCGGGCGGTCATGATCTCTTTCTCTTTGGGCGTCGGGAACATTCTTGATACCTCTCTCGTTATTTTAACTCACCGCTCAACGGTCAGATGTCGTTGGCCTGTGCGGAGTAGAATCGGTCAGCATAGGTCGTGTGCGGTGTAAGGCAGGTCGTCGGTCGTTGGTGGTGGTAGTGAGCAGTGAGCAGTCGGTTGATGCTGGTGGTGGTGGTGGTGGTCATCATTCTTGAGCCGAAGGTAGCCTAGCGTTCTACATCGAATCGAACGTCGGACCTCGACGGGCATGCGCTTTTCGTTTCCTATGATGATCTTGTTGTCTCTTTTCTTGCCGCCCGTATGACTGGTCACATTTCATACACTTCTTCATCTGTTGTTTTTTCATAATTACTTGTAGTGTGCTGTTTTCTTGGCGTTTCTCTCCCTCAAGGGAACCTGGATTTGGGGGTTTTTTTTTGTTTACTTTTCGCACGGGATTGGAGTAAGAGAGAGAAGGCGCTATAACGATCTAACCTTGGAGTGAAGAGGTGTCGCGTCAAAAGAGCCTAATACTCCCAAGGAGCCTCGATAGTAGGTGAGCAAGCCGAAGTAGTTCGAGACGGTCACGGTGAGCGAGAGGGCAGGAGGTGAGGCCAAACACACCCATAGTAAGGTAGTCCCCGCGCCTGTTACGGCTCGATTTAGCTCGCGAAGAGCTTGCGGACACAAGAACTAAGAGACTAGCTCCTACGTAGGAGCTTGGACAACGACGAGATGAAGGGGGGTGTATGCATGGGTAGTACGTGTGCCTAGTTCATATAGGTATGTGCCTGTTTGTATGAATCATCGCCGTAAGCGTCACTGTGATTCGTCTACCTACTTGGGTTCTCGCCGCCTTTTCTTTCTGTACTAGATGACTCTGCAAGAGCGTTGTTAGTCTGGCCTGTGGCGGCAAGGAAATGATTTCAAGTAGGGTATGGGAATTTTGGTTTTGCTGGTACCTTGAGAGCCTCCCGCGCCACGGTCATTTCAAGACGGCCACTGTCCATGTGACTGCTCCCTACAGGCGAATATGACGAGGTTAAGTGAAAGCCGTGAGTCGGTCCAGGTAGGCAGCTGTATTTCCGTGTGTGTAGGACGCGGATATGAGTCAAGGAACATTACTATCTACCTTGATCAGCACTACCTCAACTAAGAAAGTGGATGCGTACACAATGGGATACAGAACATGAGGTAGGTGAAATCACACAAGGTTGGACGAAAGCAGCGGACGTCGTGCAAAGATCAGCAAAGGGCTAACGAAAACCCCCCCCCCCCCCACCCCCGCGAATCCACAATCCCATGGGTTACACAAGATAGACTCGCTTGGTTCTTCTCCTCCCAGTTCCTCTGCCTGATTCATCCAAAGCAGCCTATTCCGGACGGGCGTTATGCGCGAGTTGGAAAACGAAACGGCGTACCCTATGGACAAACTCTCCGTAGAAATGCAGGGCGTTCGATACATCCAGCCACATGCTTTTTGAACTTCCTGAGCCTCATCGTATCGGGAGACTTTTCCTTCTCAAAATCTGTACCACCATTCGGGGCGACTCAAGGAGAGAGTAGACAAGAAATACATGGCGTGTAAGAGAAAGGAGTTTCGTATTACCTCAATGCCCCGGTGATCTATCCAGCGAGAATCTCGCTTCAATATCCAGTGGCGTAAAGGGCTCTCTCGTATCGTGGCCGAAACCGATTCTCGAAAATCGACGACGACTGCCTTGCGTACACGCCCCAAAGAGGAAGATTGTGTGTGGCACTAGTCTAATTGATAACAGACAGTGACTATTCCAGTTCTCATGCATTCATAAATACTGTCGAGGATCTATCAAACATATTGACTCGGCGACTCAAGCAGCTCCTAGGTCGCGTGACGCCGGCGTACGGTTTCACTCGAAAACATTACAAGTGAGTCACCCACCCATCCAGAGACAATTTTCCCCAGAAAAAACAGAGACAAATAGCCAAGAGATCAACAAGGTGGATATGCAACTGAATTAGTGGGAGAGAGAGAGAGAGAGAGAGAGAGGGAGAGCTGAAAACGGCATGGCTAATTCAATATCCGTATATCCACCCCCTCTACTGACCGCGTCGGAGTGAGCTCCGGTTTAAACCCCACCCGCATCCGGAAGACGACGAAAATGCGGAGAAGATGGTCCGGCTGATCGGACCCGAGAGCTCGGGTCTGTACCCCATAATTCGCCGCCGCCGCGTCGTCACACGAGGTGGCTTTTTCCCCTTTTCCTCATTTTGGGGATGCTGTTGCCTTTACACCCCAGACGTGGATGCGGAAAGACTGACAAGTACATTTCCTCAGCCGATGATTCAACCTTGACACACCCCTTCGAACAAAAATCGATATGCGCGAAAATCTTTAACATGTAAAATTTCATATTGATGATGACCATACATACTTGCACCGGATGGATGATACCCGGCTCGCCCTATTTACCCTGCGCGCGAAATGCAAGACACTAGACCGTCGAGACTAGATAAAGAGCGCTCCGGGTGATGCAAATGCTTTACCCCAATCATGTTTTCCCAGCTCAAAACGCCGTTGAATCAAACCCCATGCCGCCTCCACGAGAAGACCTCTTTCAGGCTTCTCTTCCAGCCGTATTCCCCTTGTCCCTTTTCCCCCCCATTACGTCCTATACTCAGGACCGATCCATGCGTGACAGCTTTCTCTAGTACTTGGCCTTGCCGTTACCAGCGCGCTTGGGGCTGCCCTCGACATTGTACGAGGCAGAACCATTGTAGATTTCGCGGTTGACCTCGCGGGCAGCGTCCCAACCAGCCTTCTCCGCAAGAGTAACGTTGCTCTCACGGCGGGCCTTGCCCTTGCCCTTGGGTGCGGCGGTGCTGCGGCGGATGTAGCTGCGGATGAAGAACATGACGAACAGGTAGGTGAGCGGCGCCAGGTACAGGACGTTGAGCCAGATGGCAAAGGTCTCGCCGCTGGTGGTGACGCAGGGCTGGGTGACGAAGATGGTCTCAGCAACGAAACCGGGCTGAGGGGGGGCAGCAGCGGCGGCGGCGGCGGAGACAGCGGCAGCCTCCTCGGCGACCTTGGCAGAAGCGCCAAAGACCATATCCTTAAGAGCCTCAAAGGCGCCTGTTGCGGCAGTGGCAACGGTCTCGGCGGCAGTGCTGGTGGAAGACTGAGTGATGGCATTGGCACCCTTCTTGGCAGTATAGACAGTCACGGGGACGGTGTAAGAAACAAAGGAGTGGGCCATTGCGTAGGTAGCTCCGACAAGGAACTGGGTGATCTGGAGAGTGGTGAGGGTTCGCTTGATGGCCATGGGGACGCGGATGTTGAAGGCGGTGATGGTGTAGTAGGTGTACTAGACGACTATTAGCAACACTTCAGCTGAGCAAGATAGGCGCAAAACTTACCATCATGGCGTGGATGAAGGAGTTAACCAGGACGAACATCCAGATGGGGGCGGACATGTAGCGCATACCAGCCCACATGCACATCATGGCACCGGCGTGGTGGTAGGTCTGGAGGGTGGAGCTGAGCTTGCCCTTGGCGAGAATGATGAAGGTGTCGAGAACCTCGTAGAACTTGCTCAGGTAGAAGATCCAGCCGTAGAAGGCGAGTCCCTCGTTCCAGATTCTGCCAGTGGCCTCACGGCTGGGGCGTCCATCAAAGCCAAGAGCGTTGTTGCCGGTCAAACTGGACCAGTAACCGACAGTCTCATTGTAGACGGTGGCGGCACCGAAACCTCCGTTGCCGTTGAGCTGGCAGAAGCTGTCTGCAGTGGCAGCCAGACCATTGGGGCCAAAGGGGCTCACAACGCTCCTACGCATGCCACCGAGCATACCCCAAAAGGTCCAAGCCGAGTAGACGGCGAGGAAAACATTGTGCAAGACGACAAAGGCGAAGAAGGGCTTGGTCTTGCTGATTCCCCAAGGCTTGCGGTTGGTCGAGTTATTGTACTTGTTCAGGAGCTTGACGGTAACGGCGTAGAGAGTGGCAATAGTGATGGGCACTCTGGGGTCAAGAGCGGCGGTGAAGATGTTGTCGGGAATTTCGACGGGGGGCGCTGCGGCGATGGACCCGGGGAAAGGTGGGGGAATGGCCATATGCGCGCCGTTGGGCGGGAAGGTGAAGAGGGAGGCGGACGGGAGCTCGCCGAGCACGGTGACGCCGGCCATGGTGGGGGAGTTTAATTGACCAATTGAGTCGTGGCTTGGTTTTTTGGAAAAAGTTGCGGTCCCGCCAATGCTAATTGCTCGGGCGTTGGGGAATTTGCTGAGTCGCGGCAATTGGAGTGACAAGCTAAAAGCAAGCTAGACACACAATGCACGCACGTTCGAAAGTCGTTCTTGACAGTAATGTCTCGGCACGAAGACTGACAGCTGTAGTGCTAACACACTCAGGTATTGGCTCGGTGGTGGAAAAGACGGTAGTCGGATCGATCGTCGAGCGACTGGTATGCGGTTCAGTCCGGAAGAGGTGGTGGACGAACGTGGGAGAGAAGAAAGGATGAGAGAGAGAGAGAGAGACAGGAGCTCTTTTTTCTCTGGATGGAATTGGACAGAGAGGTCTGGCGAAAGAGGAGGCTTGAGACAGAGTCCAAGACAACGTTCCTTTCCAACGAGGGGTTGTCGAAGGAGACAAGAGTACCGGGGGAGCTTGGGAGAGAGGAAGAGAATAGGGAGAGAAGAAAGAACAGCAGAAACGACAAGGTCAATGCGAAGGGATCCTCGAGGTCTTAATATGGGGAAGGGGAAGGTTGAAATTCTGGATGAGAGAGAGTGCCAGTGACCCAGAGAGAGAGAGGAGTGGATAATGTGCTGAGACTAAGACCAGCGGCTCCTCCCCTCCCACCTTTTTCCCTTGCCTTACCTTACGGATACCGTGCCTTGCCTTCCCCTTCGTCAACACCCCTCCACCCTGGTATACCAAGTACCAAGTATATATTTGTATGTATGTACGGATACGTAGCTTCGGGTGAAGTGATGGACCTGGCGGGGAGTGTCTTGATCAGGAGTCACTCAGCAGTCAGGGAGAAAGCGGGAAAGAAGTTTGTCTCTTTTGCTCGGGCTTTAGTCATAAGCAATGCTGCTGGGGCCAAGGCGCAACGGCAAGGAAACGGATCAGATGCGAGGCGAGACGAGGTGATGCAAGTCAAGACCATACAAAAAGCGCACGCACGTCAAGTTTCTGCTTACGGATAGTTGAAAAGCACAACGAGAGGTGTCAGGTGCGGCACGGCCAACGGCAACGGCAAGGCGGCTATCTCTGCCTCCAGACTACAGAGTCTGGTGAGTTTGGTGGAAGATGAGGAATCTGATGTCGTCGTGTCTTGTCTTGCGGCTTTCCTTGTCATGTCTCGTCATGCTCACACTAGCTTCTCAATGCTATGCGACATTGAAGCACGTAGGTACTGCTCATGTACCTCACACACATAGCTATGCACTCTCACGACTTCCCAAGCAACGCAGAAGAAGAATCAAGGTCAAGTCTTGGGTAAACCTAGGTACCGTTGCATTTCGAAAGCTCGAGATCCAAGGTGTCTTCCTTCGTCCTCCTTCCTGCGTAGGAATACATCATGTAAGGTACCTGAGGTAAGGTACTGGAGTACCTGACAACAACGGACGGAGCAAAACCCAAAAATGCCGTGAAAATGCAAGCGCACCTGGCCCTCGCCGCCTTCCTGAAGTCGCAAGTCTCTCGTGCGCGCTTGCCCGGCTTGTCGGGTGGCCGCGGGAGGTACTACTCAATGTGGATTCCACCACTGACATCCGCAGCCATCGATTCGACACAGCAGGTCCTGCCAAGCTCCAAGAGGCACATCTTCTTTCCGTTCTTCCTCACCAGTGACCAGCTGTCTGGAGACAAAAGACCGGGGCATACAGAGTACGTATCCATTCGTACGTGAGTATCCCGTCTGTACCTCCACTCCTAGTACTGTGGATACTTGCTGGGTACACCAACCTTGAACATTGTTGAGAGACACATGAATAACAGCTCCAAGCTTGACAACGGACGAAAGGCACCGCAAAACCATCACCGGTTCATGTTAAGGCAAACGGCTTCGACCACATTGGCACTACTGGATGGATGGATGGATGGATGGGGGTGGGTTCAGTTCGGTTCCATCCTCTCATCCAAGCTCAACTTGCTCCAAAATAACCAAAATCCTCACTCTTTGCCTCGGCTTCTTTCGCTCTTTCGACATCATCCTTGTTCCGCCCTTAAAGCCCATCCTGGTCCCCCCCAAGGCATGGGGGGATTTGCAGGATGGGCCCGAGCAACGCCAAAGATACAAGCTACCAAGAACAAGGGTGGGGGAAAACCAACAGCTTGAGCCTTGAAGAAAACGATGAGTCGACAACCATTCTTGCAAATTTGCGACTGACTAGACGGTGATATGGCAACGCCGAAATGCGTCTGCGAACGGGTTCCAACGCCCGGAGCAAATGTCCCAGAAGGGTTCAACCGATTGAGCATCGCAGGTTGATCGAAGGAAAAAAGTCTTTGCGCCGCGCCGCCCTGTATCCGTACGTCTGGTCTGTACGATACTTCGCAGCCTCTCACCCACCGATTCGCGCAGTTCGTCAGGCGCTTTGAAACGGTTGAAAAGCTGCGACATGGATCTTGCTTGAGCACGTTGCCGGAACCCATTGCCCAGCCCAGAGTCCCAGACATTTGTCTTTCCGACAACGGCAATGGCGCATTGGGAGCTTTGGACACCAGCTCCCAACTCTATTTTCGGGACATGGCCACGGCTTCCTCTCGCCGGCCCAATCTCGACACTTCTGTTGGCATTATCAGAGCTCGCAATGGCACTCCGCCGTCTTGCGCTCAGTCAGTGCCCTTGGGTCACGCTACGTTGGACGTTATGCGATGGCTACAAGAGAGATCACCATGAGATCAATGTTAGGCAGGGCCCGCAAGGACAACCGACTCTGACGAACTCCCATCGGGGGCTCCGGACTCCTGAAATCCTGACGGGTTGAACTTGATAATCACAAGTCTGGTCAAGTCTGCGCAGCGCAATCCTCATCCTAGAAACTTGCAGCCAGGTTGTCAGGGGCCCGTGGCCATCGCCGTCCTTCTGGAAGCCCAGGCTGACCCTCCTTGCAAGTTACCCCTGGTCCGCTGTGGGTGGTTAGTGGGGGATGCGACAGGTACTCTCCGTTGTTAGACACGCTTTCTGATAACGCCACAATGGGCTTTTGGTGCTGGACACTAACGCGCATGAAGTAGTCCACGTCACGAATCATCGAGTGTCCATCCGCCGTGGAGCATGGCTACCCGACCTTCGTCCTTTTTGTTGGGGGAACGCTAAGCCCAATTCTGTCAATCTTCTCTTCATCGTATCGAAGTTTTTTTTTCCTTCCCTCTCTTTCTGATTTCCACTTCTCGACTACGGATGGTCTTGTTGGTAAGGACCCTCTTTCTCCGGTTATCTAATCATCACGAAGCCGCTGAATGACCATCATTTGGCATGTGAGTGACAAGGGCCTTGATGTTCACGGTTCCCCCGTGCTTCTCAAAGCGGTACGCGACCAAGATTCCGTCATCTGTCGATGATGAGATTGTCACACGAGCTCGGAGCAGACAGCTTACTCGGCCGGAATGGACAAGAGTGCGTTGCTTTACAACAATAAGGCTTCCTTGCACTGATCACTGGTACACGTTGAAGCCTCAGCTTGGAGTCTCAACCTACACAAATATGACATAATGCGTTGGTGGTAACACTCGCACGACAGTCTGTTGTGTATCTCTCGTGCCTCTTTACAGTACAGTCAACACTAGCACTTACTACAAAGCACTCCAGTAATCCATCTTCGTACTCACAGTAGCCTACCACAGTTACAATACGGGAATCAGCCGACCAGGAAGAGCTTGCTGGCTTACGCGCCTTGTTCGCCCTCAGTCAACAATTCTTCGCAGATCGACTCTCACATGCATTTTTCAAGTCGTTCTCGTTTCCTTTCCCCAACAAATTCGGCTTCAAAGGCAAACCCCGGCCCCAGCTTCCCCTTTGAACCCTCTTGGCCGCCAGACCGCCCATCGCCAGATGACACCCAGCCCCCCTTGCACGGATGGATAGACCCGCCGCTGGACCCTGAAAAGTGTCCACGTCTGGTCTAGCCGCGGCCTGTGGCTGCAGGTTTGAGGGGGAGCCAATCTTGCATTTTGGCCACCATACCCACCGGGCCACGTCCGCCTGCTGTCAGTGTCAGGTCGATTCGCCGCTTACATGTCCGCTCGCCCGGGCTCGCAGACCCCCGGAGCAGTTGATGCTGCCAAGAGGTAGGTCCGATGCGCCACCGGCAGTCGGATCCGGATGCCTTGGGGCCGGGCTGCGCCGTTCTCTCTAGCGCCGGACCGGAAACCGGTGCCTTGGCTCATGTTTCGGCACAGCACACGGCGCCGGGTGTCTGCAAGTTGCCAGCCATGGATTGGAGCGGATATGCTTGAGACGGAAGAGCCGGCGGGTCACCCAACATCGGGTCCGTGACGATCAGTCTGGCGCCTATGAGGCATACAACTTTTGCAGACACTTGATTCTGGCAATGCCAGTTGTGATTCTCTGAATCAAGATCGTGGCCATGCCAACGAATCATCCGATGGCCTCCCGCTAAACAAGTTCATAATAAGGCCAGCTGAGAGACATGTGTGTTTTCTTGCCCGTTTCATTCAGTCCATGCGAGCCGAGGCTCAATGCTTCCCGGCCGAATCGATGAGACGCATCATCGATCTGCCCCACAATCTAAGAATCTCACCCCAAGCCACGGTAACGTACGATCTGCAGCAGTCAACCCAGCATCATTCCTGTTGGCGTCGCTGTGCACTTTCAAGGTGAACGGGCGGATCCGATGATCTGACCATCATCTGGGGCCATGGTGGCTGAAATATCGACAAACATAAGCTCGCGGCTGTGTCGTTTCAAGACCCAGACGCTTGGGAAGTCTGGACATGAGGCAACACGTGCAGCAGCCGCGTCTCTCTTCATTCGACTATTGGATGCCGCATCGGGCGTCTCTTTGCTCCCATTCTGGTGTTGCTTCATGCAGTGGGATACCGTGAATATGGTGTCGGAAGGACCTTTTGTTTGGTCACGACTGATGAAGAAACTATCGGGTTCCGACGAGGCCCCGTGATTATCGAGCCAAAGTCCCCGTTCCCCGCATCAAGCAGCTTCTCTCGATTCCCCGTTCCCGCACTACGCCACTCGCGCCCGGGTTGAGAGGGTTACATGCGCCCAAGTGCCGCTCAGTAGCGCCGTGCCCCGCCAATGCAAAGAGTAAGCTGCACATCTATGGTATTGACAGCTCTGCTGGCCAGGTCCGGTGGGGGGAATCATAGGTCCGAGACTCCTCTTTGAGGGATTCTGCAACCACAAACAAAGAGACGGTTCAGAACTAATCGTAGCGTCCAATCTTTAGCCGCGAAGCTGGCGGTTGACTGAATGTTTGACCACCCCAATAGCACACCGGATCGGGAATAGGGTCCCATCTGCCTGAGGAGACAGCCAGAGCGAAAGAGAAAGAGAGAGAGTGTGTGTGTGTGAGAGAGAGAGAGAGGAGATGACTATGGAGAGATCCATTGAGATGCTTCGTCGCACAGACCCCGCATCCATGGCAAACACGAACCCCTGCAGCACCACCATGCGAGCAGCAGGGGGCTGCCAACGACGACTCGTTTTCCCGTTGCCTTCCCACACATCCTGACATCAGTCGAGGCATGAGCTTCCGAGGTGCCTTTTCATCGCTCATATGTCAATTGGGACTATAGCTAACTTCAAAGCTGCCCCTCATCCGACCTTGCGTAACCTTGTTGTTGTCACTATTCTTCTACCCCTTCTCCGAGCTATTTCTACGTTGTATCGCGTTGTACCACCGACCTGGATTCTTTGATTACTATTCTCATCTCTCTGTATTTACTTACCATCAAGCTTCAATCCGCTTCATCATGGCTACTTTGCCAAAGACCATTCCCGGCACCGCCGTCGAGCTTCAGCTTCCGGCGTTGCCGACCACCGACTTTTGGAACGAGACTCAATGGACCGTTCTGATGTCCTTGCTCGAGGCGGTCCTCCCGCCCATCTCACGACCAGCGACTCTCACGGACACGACAAGCCAGATCAAAGTGTCTGATGCCGAATATGCGGCCGCGCTCCAACTCGCCCAGAACACAATGAAAAAGCCGCCTTCCGAGGAGAAGTTCCAGGAGTACATGGCGCATAACCCCGCAAAGGAACCCAAATTCATCGAGAGCATCACCAGGACACTTGCGGCCCTGCCGTCCGGCGCACAACGTCAACTCGGTGGCGCAATGGGCGCTCTTGGGTGAGTGATGGATCATGAACGCCACTACGATGCTTCACTTTAATGTTCGTCGTGAACGAACCATAACTGACCACATTGACAGCACTCGTGCTGGCACGTTGTTTCTCACCGGCTACTGGACCCCAGTTCACCTTCAACCCATAGAAGTTCGTGAGCAGATTTTGAAGGCTTGGCAGACGTCCAGGCTCCCCACAATCAGGGTCCTATCAAAGTCAATATGTCTCCTGGCGCAAAAGGCCGCCGTGCAGACCAATCCTTTGTTCATAGAGTTGACGGACTATACCGACATGCCGGACTTCCAGACGCACGGCGAGGGCTTCGACTTCAACTTTATGCAGTTCGAGTCTGCTGGTGAGCCAGCCGTCGTGGAGACCGACGTTGTCATCGTCGGGTCGGGCTGCGGAGGAGCAGTCGCTGCCAAGGTCCTAGCCGAAGCAGGTCACAAGGTCCTCGTTGTCGACAAGTCGTACTACTACACACCGAGTCAGCTTCCGATGTCCCAGGATGCCGGCTGCTCGTTCCTGTACGAGAACGGAGGCTTCATCACCAGTGATGACAACTCGCTCAACATGGTCGCCGGCAGCTGCTGGGGCGGCGGCGGCACCGTCAACTGGAGTGTCAGTCTCCAAACGCAAGGCTTTGTCCGCAAGGAGTGGTCTGAGCAGCGCGGCCTGCCCTTCTTCACCTCGCCCCAGTTCCAAAACTGCCTCGACAAGGTTTGCGATTTCATGGGTGTCAGTGCCGACAAGGTCCGCCACAACCACCGTAACCAAGTACTGCTGGACGGGTCTCGGAAGCTCGGATGGCACGCCGCCACGGCCCCGCAAAACACGGGCGGAATGGAGCACTACTGCGGGCAGTGTCATCTCGGCTGTGGGTCGACCGAAAAGCAGGGCCCTACCGTGAGCTGGTTGCCGGCGGCGGCGGGATCTGGAGCCAAGTTTATCGAGGGCTTCGAGGTTGAGAAGGTCACCTTTGACGAGTCCAGCGGGTCCAAGCGAGCGACAGGCGTAGTTGGAAAATGGGTATCGAGGGGAGCCAACGGTAGTACCAGCGCGCCTTTGGAGCAGCGGACCACACGGCAGGTTGTTATCAAGGCCAAGAAGGTCATTATGTCGGCTGGATCAGTTTCGAGCCCCTTGGTGCTGTTGAGGAGTGGCCTGACGGTGAGTAGACGATGTCGTCTCTCTATTGCGCGCTTACTTGTCCGCTCTGCTAACGTCACGTCTAGAATCGACACCTCGGCCGCAATCTCTACGTCCATCCCTGCAACTTTGTAGGAGGCTACTGGAAGGAGGACTGCAAGCCATGGGAGGGTGAGTTACTCAAACCACATCGCGAATCCACATGTTCTGGTTGCTGACGTGAAGTGAGAACAGGCGGTATCATCACGAGTTACTGTTCCTCATTTGAGGACCTCGACAATGCTGGCCACGGTGTGAAGCTGGAACCTACTTGCATGATTGTACGTCCTTACTCTAACTTTTGCAAGCCAATTTGTTCACTAACACATTCACAGCCTTATGCAATTCTGTCCAGCATGCCATGGCACTCTGGTCTCCAGGCCAAGCTTAGCGAGCTCCGCTTCCGCCACTTTGGCGCCTTCATCTCTCTCACCCGCGACCGCGACCCGGGCCGCGTGTACCCGGACCCCATCTCCGGCCGCCCCCGCATTGACTACGTCGTCTCCGACTTTGATCGCGCAAACACCCTTGAGGGCGTCGTCGCCCTCTGCAAGATATGCTACGTTGAGGGCGCAACGGAGATCCACGCCGGTCTGCCCGGCCTCGAACCTTTTGTCAAGGAAGACCACGCCGAGCCTCCCTCAAAGGAGAAGGAGACTGCGGCCGCGTCATCTTCGGCCTCAGATAGCGGCGACGAGGCAATCCTCGACGGCGTCAACGACCCCAAGTTCGTCGCGTGGCTGGATAAGTTGCGCCGGATAGGCAACGCGCCGCCCGTGGCCATCTTTTCGTCTGCGCACCAGATGGGTACGTGCCGCATGGCGCCCAACGAGGACGAGGGCGTGGTGGGACCCAAGGGCCATGTCTGGGGTACGGAGAACCTGTTTGTCGCGGACGCGAGTGTGTTCCCCAGCGCGAGTGGGGTGAACCCCATGATTACGAATATGGCGATTGCGGATTGGATTGCGATGAACATTGGTAAGGAGATTAAGGCTGAGTTTTCGTAGACGTGGGGGAAGTACTGTGGATGGAAAGGATGTATGACGAGAGAGGGAGGGAGAGAGAGGAAGGCTGGAGTAAGGTTGTATAAAAGATGGAAGAGAGAAGAGAGAGAGAGAGAGAGATTGGTGGAGTACATTTTATTGTAGCTATACCCAACTCCCATAGCAAATTGTCACATTTTGGTGTCATGGTTTACAACATTCCAGCATTCCAGCATCCAAGCATTAAAATCCGCTGCCCTACAGAATGATTGGTCAAACGGAAAAAGATCTAAGTAAGGTCGTTGAGAAAGACCTTGGCTTCATAACGATTTAAGCTTGCTGTCCTATCATCTCCCGACTGAACGTTGGTACACATTTACTCAATCAAGAAAGCAATGGACGTTGGCCGGTTCATCTGCACCCATTCTCGGCTGAGATGTTACCACTTGCCTATGTAGATACAAACATAGCTAGCAAAAGACATCCAAAATAACAGGGTGTGCTGATTCTAAGTGCAAAATCCTAGCTCTAGTGTTTACTGAAAGGTATATCACTCATATCTGAGTCACAAACACTTACTGAAGTTGGTCTACACTGCTCCTTAGCAAGAGCACGACAAAATCCGGTGAAACCATTCGCTCACTCGGACTAGACAAAGCGATAGAATGAAATCCAGCACGCAAAGACCTTGTAAGGTGATTGCCTATTCTCAGCCACCTCGTAGAGGTCGTGCTGATCCTGGCCGTATTGCACAACGAATGCATTTTGAGAGCGAGGTGCTTGGTAGTGAATGGTCTATCATGAAATCTGGGTCTTAGATCTTGTCGCTTCTTGAACGGGGTGTCCTTTGATGTAGGGAGAAAGGGGGGGCAATGCGCCGTTGACTTGACTTGTTCGTCACTTCTGCCTTGCGAGTCGTCCCACCGTGATCGCCATGAGTCCTTGGGAGTGTGGTCTTGCTGTTACTGCGCACGGTCTTATTCTTTTCAATGAGGGGGAAATGTTTGAGGTGTTTAGATGCAAATTAGTCTGGGTGCGTAAGGTCTGTTTTCTATCGTGGTGCTTGAGATGTTGGGTGACACAGTTAGGTTCGGGATGCGTTATCAAATTATTAAAGGGAGGGTTTTCTCTTTCTTCTTCAACTTACTTTCTGAATGCCATCTGTGGTATTTGTTCGCAATCGACTTGAGACTGCGCCTTGATATTTTACTTTTCCTATCTAAAGGTACTGGAGTTTTATTCAGATTGGGATCTGGTCTACTCCAGTATGAAACTAGCCACACCAAGCACCGTCTCCCATGTCCATCAGATGAGTTATTGACTTCCCAACCTGTCACCTTCCAGTAGCCATAACGAACTATAGGAAGATCTTTCACGAAAAAAACAAACATTAAGGCATCTCCCACCGCCCACTCTTCCCCCCATCCTTCAACACGACCCTTAACCCCCCAATAACCATCCCCTTATCCACAGCCTTACACATATCATACACCGTCATCGCCGCCGCCCCGGCAGCCGTCAAAGCCTCCATCTCGACTCCCGTTTTCCCCTCACACTCGACCGTCGCCTCGACGCAAATCACCGTCTCATCTTCCGAGTCGCTGGCAGGCTCGACCTCGACGCCGATGTGGGAGAGCAGGATCGGGTGGCACAGCGGGATGATGTCGGGCGTGCGCTTGGCGGCCATGATGCCTGCGATCCGCGCCGTGCCAAGGACGTCGCCTTTCTTCATCTGGGAGGCGCGGATGAGGTTGATGGGGGACGGGGAGGAGAAGGTTATTGTGCAGGCTGCTTTTGCGATGCGGGCGGTGGGGGTTTTGGAGGCGATGGAGACCATGTGGGCTGAGCCTGTGGGGGAGATGTGCGTCAGGGATGGTTTGGGGGTTTGTGTGTTGTTTTCTTTGTCGGTGTTGGCCTTGCTCTTCTTGTCGGAGTTGTCGTTGCGGCGGCAGGTGGTGGTTGAGGAGAAGGGTCTGAGTTGAGCGTGATGATGTGGTGTTGGGGAAAGGAGGTGGATGGGTACCCCTGGCACGCCTAGAGGACGACGTGGAGGTGTCTGGCTGAGGGGCGTACTCATGGACATTGGCTTGGAGATCCTGGTGGGAGATGGTAGACGAGAAGTTTGAGGCGACTGAGAATCTAGATAAACTATTGATTCAGCCTTCCATTCATGTGCACATACATACTTATATATACGTTCCGTATAGAATCCTCCTTATGAGCGTTCATGCCACGCGATCATCCCCTTGGTATCCAACGCCGTCCCAATGCAAATAAACCAAACAGGCAAATCCTTCCCTCAGAACTAGTGGACCAAGAGTGTAGGAGAGAAAAGGGGCCGCGGTTACCCACCTATCAAGATCATCGGCCTGTTCTTCATGTGCTCCAGTTCCCCGATACCCGCATGCTTCTCCTTCTTCCGCTTGACAGCCATACCAATGACGTCCAGGAGCTCCGCCTCGTTGAGCGCCGCGCCCAGCGGTTTCCCGGCGTCCGCCAGCCCCTGCCGGCGGTCCATCTCAATCTGCTTCATCGCCTCGAGCGCCGCCTCGTCAATGGGCTCGCCGCCGTTGGACTTTCGCAGGATATCCCGCAACGAGACCTCGGTGTTGCCAAACAAGCACACCTTGAGGTTCCCGTCGCTCGTGATGCGCAGCCGGTTGCACGTCCCGCAGAAGTTGTGCGTCATGCTCGTGATGAAGCCGATCCTGCCCGCGAACCCAGGGACGTGCCACGTCTTGCTCGTGTCGTTCTTGTGGTCCTCAACCTTGGCAAGCGTCGGGTACGTCTCGCGGATGACGTCGAGCATCTCGGCGTAGCCCAGCATCTTGCCCTTGTTCCACTTGTTGCCGTCAAAGGGCATGTACTCGATGAAGCGGACCTCGACGTCCTTATCGCGCGTCATCTCGACAAAGGGACCGATCTCGGCGTCGTTGCGGCCACGCATGACGACGCAGTTGATTTTGAACTTGATGCCCGCGCCTGCCTTGTTGAGGGCAAAGATGCGGTCGATGCTCTTCTTGACGGCGTCGAAGCCGTTGCGCCGGGTCATGATCTGGAACATGTGCGGGTCTAGGGTGTCGAGGCTTAGGTTGATACCGGTGAGCCCTGCCTCGACCATGCTGTCGAGCTTGCGGTGGAGGGAGAGGCCGTTTGTGGTCAGGCACAGCTCGCGGAGGCCGTGGGGCCGGAGAGCGCCAATCTGGTGCATGAGCGGGACAATATCGCGGCGCACCGTGGGCTCGCCGCCCGTCAGGCGGATCTTGGTGACCCCTTGGGAGACGAAGACGGAGGAGAGCAGGACGATTTCCGGGGTGGTGAGGAGTTCCTTTGTCGGGGAGAGCGGCACGCCTTCTTCGGGCATGCAGTAGAGGCAGCGAAGATTACAGCGTTCTGTGACGGATATGCGGAGGTAGTCGTGCTGGCGGTGGAAGGTATCGGTGAGGAAGTCGGAGAAAGGCTTCGCATCCTTGATGAGACGGTGGCGGGTGGTGAGTGGTTGGTGCTGGGAGCTCGGTGTGACTTGGGCTGCAGCGGCAGCCGCATTCAGACACCTCCTCTGCGTCTGCTTCTGCGTGTGAGGGATGCACGCCGACTGTGATGGTCTGCATCGCTGTGATAGTTGGCCGCTGCTGCGCAAGGCAGTGCGAGGCCATGATATGCTGTGTCTCATGACGCTCTATTTCAGTATGAGGAAATGTGAGAGGCGATGAGTGAGACGCGCTCCGAGAAAAGAGAAAAGAGGAATAATCACACGCTGTTCATTCCCATGGTTGACACAAACACTGACATGTGATGATGAATGTTGAGAAGATGAAAATGGAGGCTATGAGATGGATGAAACTTAGATTCGATCAAGAGTGAGGAGTGAAATTGCTATCACGACGATGCGATATGTGACACTGTGAGTCAGCAGAAGCGTGGCGATTACCTATTTGTGAGTGAGGTAAGCCCGTTGATAGACATCGGACAGCACTAAAGCGACTACTCTACAGCTAAAGTGAGACTAAGTGAGGGGGGAAAGAGCCGCTCAGTGCCGCTGAAGGGCGTATGCACGAGCACAAGCACAGGTCACCGGGGCCGACGGAGTTGGGCGAAGGATGTCTGGACTCTGGCGGGGTTCGGCGGCGTTTGAGGTGCTGGCGAAATAGGGCAGTGGTGATTGGTTCCCGGCGTTCTTTCCCATCATCGTCCGGCCGGCAACTTCCATGGAGCCGGAGAGAGCCCGGACACTGGACACTGGAGAAAGCACCACCTGACTAAGCCTTCAAGGCAAGGTACCTACCTACCTTACCTACCTCGTGCTACACAGGCGAGAGCCCCGCGCTAGTCTCAAACAGGAATCAATGTAAACAACAACGATGCAGACGAGCACCTTGTTTCCTTCATTGTAACAACGGCTTTTCTTCAAGACTCCACCGCTGCCGAGACTCAGGAACGCTTGCCCAATTCATCCTCACCCAAAGACCAAAAAGAAACCCTGCTTCGTTTCGTTTCGGCAAAACCACCCGTCCCTTGATACTTCCCTAAATAACACTCGGTAGACCTCACTTACCTTGTCTCACTTTCCTAAACAAGCCAGGCTCGCCTTTGGATAGGTATCGTACGGATACGCATCATACCTGACCAAAGTAAAGTACCGTACCTGGGCTTCATATCACACTCACGTCTCCCAACACACAACTTCCCAACTCCATGCATCATGCACTTTTCAAGGATCTTCAAATGTAAGGCTCTTAACGTTTTCTCATCCATTCTCTTCCCCGAGGCTTACCATCGACAGCATCGCCGCATTGCGCGTCAAGTCCTGATGGTAACCTGATTGCAACCCTGTCGCCCACCAGCATCAGTGTACGGTCTGTCGAAACCCTCGAGACGATTCATAGCGTCAAACTACCGTCCAATGTCGGTCCTGCATACGCTTTGCGATGGTCACCTTCGTCAAGGCGCATTCTCGCCTGCTTCTCTGACCAGATTCTGATCTACTCGGCTTCGGGTCCAGGCTATCGGGGCGTCATACGAAACCCCGCAACCCCTAATCTGAAGCCCACCTTTGTTCAGTTTGGCGCTTCCGATACCGAGATCTTCATGTGCTCATCCTACGGCCTTAAGTTCTCCATCTTCGACCTGGCCACTTCGAGAACCATTGAGATCAGTAACCCAAAATTCCACCAAGCTAGTGTAGCTTCTCGTGGCTTTGCACTTCGCCCCGGCTCAGGGCATTTTGCCATCCTCACACGTGTCGCCGGTAAAGATATCGCCAGTGTTCACCATCCCAAGACGCGACAAGTCCTTCGCTCTTGGCAGCCCGATACTGTTGATGCTCAAGGACTGGCCTGGACCCCAGACGGCCGCTGGCTCCTCATGTGGGAGTCTGCGGCTCAAGGACACAAAATCCTGTTTTGCACGCCCGACGGCCACCTCTTCAAGACGTGGTCTGGACCCTCACCCTGGGCCATCGAGGAGAAGCATTACGAACTCGGCGCGGGGGTAAAGCACTGTCAAGTCAGCCCGGACGGCGCTCGTATTGCAGTGTGCGACCACACTCGCAGTGTATGCGTTCTAGAAACCAAGTCCGCTGCCGAGTCGATGAGACTCGAACATCCTGCAACCATCGCTCCAAGGGATACCGTACAGGTGGGTAACACAACCTATATTTGAGCAATAATTTTGGCGTAGACTAACACGAGGATGACAGATCTGGCAAGAGGAGATCGCCACGACCCAATCAGGTTCACAGCACTCCTTTTCGCGCGCGACCCAGTCTGTATCTGCCCCGGGCCGAGCGAGCAACGGCACTGTCGATACCAAGCCAGCCCGCACTTTATCCGTCTTTGATGCATCATCCAGTCTCTTGGCTACTACCTTGGAGGACTGGCCAAGCACTGTTTGGGTCTGGGATTTGGCGTCATCTGAATTGCGCGCCGTTCTCATCTTCCACAGTCAAATTTTGGCTTTCTCCTGGCACCCAAAACAGCGCGAAGTGCTCATGGTTACATGCGAGGGAGACAATTACGCAGGTTTGGTGTTCGTCTGGGACCCCTTGTCCGACGGCCCGAAGACGGTTCACTTTAGAGGGCAGCTACCCGATGCCAAGGTGTTGGGAAAGCCTCAAGCATCGTGGCTCGACTGGACTGGCGATTCTGCCGTTCTCCTGCTGGGAGATAGCAAGCATCATCTCATGGCATCACTTGCGGAAGCAGAGGAGTCCGTAGCCCCATGGCAAGACGCGCACCGCAATGATTTGACAATGACCACTGGCAAGGATGAGACGCAGATGGAGGCACCTGCACTGGACGATTTCGACGATGACCTGTCCGGTCTAGACATGTCCGAAGTAGACGACACCTTCTCTTTCAAAAGGACTTGATCGATTGCAGCGCCACCAACTTTGGTACTAGACGGCTGCACCAGAAGCTTCCCCGACCAACCATCCGAAGACAGGCCCCAAACCTGCGGATGTCACGCGGGTCTCATTGGTTTCCTAACTACCCGCGGCTGCGCGCTGCTGCAGCCGAGCGCGATGATGGATATAGCATCCGCACCGCCCTGATGCAGGAAGGTGTGGTCCTTTCCAAGCTCTAAGTATGCTACTGCCGCAGCCACATTGCGCAAACTATCTTCACGAGGAGGGACTGCCAGTGGTAAGCGTTCGCATCTATTACGGACAGCCGCAACATATCTACAAGGACAGGGCTTGAAACGAGACTGGGCCAAATTCGACTGTTCATCTGCTCGTCGCTCGAACTGTGGTATTTACTGGCGCTTCTCTGGGGAATTTTCTGTCATTCTGACAGGTTGACGTGGCTTACCAGCACCGCGCTTAGTGGATGTTGTCTTCCGCGGCTTCTCTCAACTGACGCCAATTTGTATCGACCACCCGCAATCCCAGGCTTCACAATGTGTTGGAGGTGCATGCTGCGTACAGCGGCACAGCATCGTACCAACTTACTGCAGGGGTCTATTATGGAACTTTCTCAGTCCGAGCCTGCTCCCCTCGATTCTATCACTTCAACCTGCCATTGGCTGTAAATGATCAAGGGCAAAGGCTCAGAATGCATTCGGATTTTGATCAGCACTTTCAGCTGTTCATGGACCATCTGAGAAACCACTGGTCCCTGGTCGTTGTTCTCAATGGTGTCCCTAGCTCCCTCTCCGGATCGGGACGAGCCAGTCGAAAAGGGAAGCCTTTCTGGCTATCATCGAAAAAAATTGGAGCCCTGTTCGCTCATTCTTTTGGCTTCGAAGCAACTTAAGGGAGGAAACCTGTCTGTTACCGGGCCGCAGCTTACATCTCAGCCTCCAATGACCAGGTTCACGGCACATATTTTCGGATGACTCGATAATGATAGCAGCTGTCTTGATCGACCCAACATTAGCCAAAGAGCTTATGCGCGCGATAGGTGACTGTGCCCAAAACAAACTTGCATCAAGCCGGACCCCACATGGTGGCTGTCATTTTTACGATGCTACAAGGGGGAAGAGCTCAATGGCACGATCTAATAGTAAATGAGCTGCATCACACCTCTTGCGTTGCGACGTTCTTTGGCGCCGCATGTACTGCGGGTATTCGGTACCAGATCGTTGCTGACCCCATACCATGTCCGGTCGACCATTCGGCCGACTCACCAGCGGATGTGTTGGTTGGCACAGACAAGAAACCCCAAAGCGCAGCACAGGGTTCGGGTACCCAGGCCAGGATGACTGCTTCCAACGAAGATGGAATGTCTGTCTGCCAAGTACCGGTTCAGACTGGGATAACCCGGGGGCAGCACTAGCAGAAATCTCCCTTTCCTCGAACTAAAGACAAGTATATCTCTCCATTGGCCATGTTGTTCTCCGTGGTTTCTGAGAGGAAACATGGAGGATGGAGAGAACTAGCCCAATATAAAAGAAGAATTCCATTGTTCTCTCCTCACCACCTCAGACCATCATCTCCTTCCTTTGTTTGCTTGAATCGATTCGAGGACAGCCAAGGCTTTGTGGTTCATCACTGGATCTTGCGTCCCATGAGATTCTGGCACTGGTTGATTCTTCGCACCGTCACACAGCCACCAGTCAAAGTCAAGACGTTGGCGTCTAACGTTGGACAGAGCCCATGCCAGGAGTTGGTTTCCGTCATCCTGCGTCAACATGCAACCGTACTTGGCTCGACCCGGTCTAGAAACCGGAGTCTTTTACATACCCATAGCAAATGTTCGTGACACCGACTACACCGCAAATGAACCTACCCTGACGGACGAGACAGCTGCCTTTCGACACAAACTGGAGGCAATTCAAGGATTGGCTCCGCGAAGGTTGTGTGGTTGATCATGTTCAAATCTTTGGACCTAGTACGTCTGGCTGGATTAGGGTGTTGGGCCAACACAATTTCTACGGTGCCTGTGGTAGGTGTACCCGGTCGGCTGGCGACGTCAAGCCATTCGCTAACACACATTCGAGATCGCCTGAAGGAGGGCGTGTTCCACGGCAGGCGGATCATGTTTGACGATCGTAACATGTCAAACCCCATCATGATCAAGGATGTCGAGGTGAACGAGAACTCAGCATCTACGCGCACGAGATCGCAGAGGCCTGAATACGTAGACCCAAACTATCAGCAGGCTGGCCCGTATTCGTATAATTCCTATCCAGAAGCATCGTATTCTCAGGTAAGACCATCGGCAAGACAGT